CCCTGTCTCGAAAAACAAAAAAAAAAAAAAAATACAGAATTAATACACTTTTCTAGTAGGATTAAGTTAATTGACAAATGGAGTCTTGAATTTTACTTAAAAGTTTTCAATATGAGATATGTCTTGAGTTCTTTCTGTAATAGAATGATATAGATATCTGTTTGTTATTAATTATACTCCACATCTGGTAGACCTGATCCCACACCCCTATAGGAAAGAACAACTCAGTACACAGACTTCAAATACAGTTCAAGTACATGATAGCTTACCTTGGAGGGAGACGTTTATCAGTTGGTCACACAAACATAACTGAATATTTAATGAGTATATCAAAGATGAAATACACAGAGCATCTGAAGGAAGCCTGTGAGCAGAGTTCTGAAGAATGCATGGGATCAAGTGGGAAAGAAATAAACACTGCCTAGAAGTGTGTGTACAGGCAAACACAGTAAGAAGAGTCCGTGTCCTCTTAGGGATTTGAAAGCAAGGCTGGGGAAGAGAGGAGAGGCAGAGGGGTTCATGGCATACAGAAATGGAGAGGCAGTAACAAGCACTTACACAATACTAATCATTTTATCTTTGCAAAGGCAACTGGGGGAAAACAGTTTTAAGAGAAGAGTGACATGACCAAGTTTCCATTTTAAATATAGTTACGTACTACTTTACAATGAGGATACATACATCATTCAGCGCTTTCATCACTGTCAAATCTTTATACTATTATTCCGCAAACCTAGATAGCATAGCCTGGGGTACACCTTGACTAGATAGTAAGTGTCATCATCATCAGTATGGTCCATCATTGGCCAAAGCACGCTAGGTGGTACATGACTGAAGTTACTTGCATCCTTTCTGAAAAATTAAGTTGGTGGGTCAAGAGTAGATATGTAAAACCAGTGAGAACCAATGTGCATGAAGTTTGATAATATATACTAGTTACAGAAAAGATATTTTGGTACAATGGTCAAGTCATTGTAGATTGACCAAAGACATTTTATTGAAGATGGGGGCTGTGTGTGTAAGGAAACATCCGGAGACTTTAAACTACATAATGATATAGATGACACTGACCACCAGTGACATGGGACACTCTGGAAGGACATAAGGGGACGTACTGTGGTTTTTAATGTCAGGCTTCTGGAGTTCACACCAGTTGGAGATACACCGGTAGAGATGGTGGACATGGCAGTAGGTCATTGTGAATAGCCATGGAGATCAGTAGAATGATATGGCTAGAATTATTGGCACGCTGTTTATATTTCAAGCTTTGGGCACAAGTAAGTTAACCCAAAGAGTAAAGAAGTAAAGGGTGAGATGAGAGAAGGTCACGCTAGTGCTGAGGGTCAAGAAGTTGTGACATTAAAAGCCAGGTGCAAAATTGTAGGGCTGAAAATAAATGCACGGACATGTTGCTTAGCATGGTTAGTGCAGCTTGACTGGAAAATAGGTTAGCTGGGAATTCACTTGGGGCCGTGGAGAGATCATTTGGGGTCGGAATGTGGTAAGCCTGGAGGGCTGCGCTGAGTTCAGATTTCCTCCTGGGCAAAGTGGGAAGCCATGAATGAGGTTTGAGAAGGGAGCGGGGAAGGGATCGAATTTCCATCTGAAATAAATGATTCTGGCAACAGTGTGCAAGATAGATTAACAACTGGGGAGGCTGGAGACCCTGGAACATCAGTTAAGAAGCCATCATCATCCCACAGTGGTGGTGGAAGTGGAAAACAGGGGATCTGAGACACACGGCTGCGGTATAATTAATAGAAGTCAAAGTGGGCGCCAAAACCCCAATGACTGGAAAAATCGTGGGCGCCATTAAGCAAGACTGGGAAAATGCAACGACAAGTCAGTTTGAGGAATATGAGGGAATAATTTACAAACATAGTTCTGGATAGTTCATGTGTTAGCCTGTCCTAGGACCATGAATGTAGAGCTCAGGAGACCAGCCAGGGCTGAAGCTGTAAATTCAGGTGTGTGCTTAGGGTTTTTCACCTAAGTCATGGGATTGGATGAAAATTCCAGAGTTAAGTTTCCTGTTTGTGCAGCAGAAAGAGGAAGCAGGTTCTATCACATAATGTCCTGGGAGAGCCTGGGAGTAAGGGCTGAGGCATGCTCTCTCTGTAATGCTCTGTGAGTACAGACTGTCAGAAGTCTGGACATCTAAAGCTGTGTGTGGTAAGAGAGACTATGCACTTAACTGTGGACTACTGGGCAATGCAATTGGATGTTACTGGTGACTTTGGAATAATCAGTGTTAAATAATGACCTCTGATTCACCGGCTTTAAAGTGGCAGAGGCCCGGCTGCAATGGATTTCAGAGAGGAATAAGGAGAAAGCAGGAATTTATCGGCATTCCTATTATTCATATTTTATAACTTTTACAGTTTTTCTGGCCCCTGTGACAATTTCGTCAAAAAAGAGTGTTGCCTTAAAACCATTTATGAAGTGTTACATAAATGTGGTCATGGGTTGTTTTTTTTTTTCAGAGTTTAAATTTTCATCACATGTTTTATAGTCCAGCATGAAAGTCTTTTTTTCAATGGGGTTTTATGACTATACCAGGAGGCCAGCCTTAAGTTATTTCATTTTGTGTCATCAAATGAATAAGAATACATTTTAAAAATCAAATTAGCTTATTTTCTTGTGCATAATGAAGTGATCTGGCTCTCAAATGTTGAGTTAACTAAGATATAAAACTACAATTAAACATTATACATTTAAACGAACTTTTCTATCTCAGCAAATGTTTTTAGATCCAAACAAAACACTGCCATGCTCTCTGTTCCCAATTAGATACAGTCTTCTGGCAGAGTTCTACAAATTGCCAAGGCTCTTTTGGGAGATGCTGGCAGATACACGTGTGTGGCTACCAATGCCGCCGGAGAAGCCCAGCAGCACACTCAATTGCACGTGCACGGTAAGAGTATGTTCATGGCTTTCTCTTGTGTGTGTGTATGCGTGTGTGAGTGCATGCAGGGGGTTGCACACACTTGTGTGTGTGAACACACATATGTAGGCCACAGGTCAATAGCCAGTGCCATTTCTTCTGTGCCACCAACCTTGCTTTTTATTAATTTAAGTATTTTGATTCTTTTTTGAGAATTTAATACACGAGTCTTATATTCACATCAATCTATCCCTCCCTCTCCTACCTCCAGCTCCTCCCATGCCTTCTCATTCCCTCATGACCTCTTTTATAATTATTTATGGTTTAACACATGTGTGTATAATAAACCTATTTAATGTGGCTTTTGTATATCTCCTGTTGCCATTTTCCTAAACTGCCTTTATTTTGAGATAGGGTCTCTCACCTGGCCTGGTACTTACTGATTAGGTAAGGCTGGCTATCTAACCAGTCCTGGAGATCTGCTTGTCTCTGTCTCTCAAAGAATAGGATTACAAGCTGTAGCACAAATTCTAATTGATCTTAATAATAAAAATCTGGAGTTGGATATTGGGATAAATGCTGAAAGATCAGAGAATTAAAGGAGTCAGCCACTAGAGAAACTTCTTACCTCCACCAAATCCTCAGACAAAAAGGGTGAGCTTAAGTCTCTTCCTGCCTTATATTCCTCTCTCTACTCAGCCATATCACTTCCCTGTCTCCACCTCCCAAGCACTCAGATCAGAAGCATAAGATCCCAAGTGCTGGGATCAAAGGTGTGTGTATGCCACCACTGCCTGGCATCTATGGCTAGCTCTACCCTCTGGTTTTCAGGCAAACTGTATATGTTAGAGCACAAACAAATACCACCACATTTCCCTCTTTTTGTCTAAAATAAAAAAGAAGGTATAACTAATATAAGAAAAAGTATATACAACAAGTATAATAACTATATACAATATATACAGGCAATAAATAGATCAACAATGTCTAGCCCATAAACATTTGATAAATTCGGAAAAATACTTCATTATCTATCCTGTTTTGGTGAGTACAAAAGGTTGTACTTAATTCACTTTCTATTCTAACTTGCATTGTCAAAATTACCTTTTAATGTCTCTCAACTTTACATACTTTACATTTCTTTAGTGAAGTTCTTTTCTGAATCTGGTATCAAGGAAAACTGTAACTATAAAGTCTTCAACTCCATCAGAGATCCAAGAGGGAACTAATATTACCTGAGTAAGCAAGTGACTTCCAAAAATGTGAGAAATGACAGAAACAGCTGGCTGCCTGAACAGTCACTACCCAAAGTTCCTCTGCAGCATTGGGGGATCCATCCATCTTGGGCCTACAACAAGCAGTATCTAGCATTTCCACTTTTTTTTTTTTTTTTTTTTTTTTGGTTTTTCGAGACAGGGTTTCTCTGCATAGCTTTGCGCCTTTCCTGGAACTTGCTTTGGAGACCAGGCTGGCCTCGAACTCACAGAGATCCACCTGCCTCTGCCTCCCGAGTGCTGGGATTAATGGCGTGCACCACCACCGCCCGGCTGCATTTCCACTTTATGACTCTCTTCTTTAATTGGTTGTGGGGAAGCATAGAAGGAAAGAGAATACATATTTTCTATAAACTGGAAATATAGAAAGAAAAGCTTGATTTTATCTATATGAAAAATACTATATAGTTCATTGTAATTACAGTTTTTCATAAATATCTTCAGTTTTCAGGTTGTTAAATAGTATGCTCAAATTTTTACAAGTGCTTACACATGTGTGTTGTGCATATGTGTATATATATGTGTGTGTGTGTGTGTTCACATGTGTAGAGGCATATTTGTGTATGTCCACATGTGTGCAAGCATATATACCATATGTGGAAGCACAAAGTTGGTGGTAGGTGTCATTCTCCATTGCTCGCCATCTTATATATGAGATAGGGTCGCTTGCTGAACCCAGGGCTCACCATTTAGGCTAGTCTGGCTAGCCAGTTTGCTCTGTGGATTCCCTGTGTCTGTCCTCCTGCTCTTGGATGTCCATAGGCTGCCACATCTGTGCAGCTTTTTACATGGGTTCTGCAGAGCCAAACTTGATTCCTCATCATGCATGGCAAATTCTTTACCCTCTGAGACATCTCTGCCATTCTCCAATGTTTTTCAAGTGATTCATGTCACCTTCATTAATAATCCTTTATGGAGATTTTGTTGAAAAAAAATAAGTTCCAGGGTTATGCCTCAACCTTGTCTATAATTTTTTTGCACGGTTTTTATTTTGTGAATGGGAGCTCCTCTTGACTTGGGATCTTCTATGGGCTTTCATAAAGTGTTTGGGTGGCTAGGAAGCACATCATCAACATCACAGCTTTACTATAAACTTAGAAGACATAGACTTTGAGTAGAAGGCTTTTGTTCTCTAGAGGTTTATCGGAACAAAGTCTGGGCTTTTGCAGAAGTGCCCTGACATCTCCATGTACACATTATTCATTTGTTTTATTCGTGTGGTTCTTTTATTTCTTTAGATAGTCATTAATCCATAGATTCATTCCACATTTACTGGGGAATCCAGCCTAGAATAATGTGCAGGGATCTAACTTAATTCCAGGTACATAGCAGGAAGTTGAAAAATTTAACATACAAAAGAGTAAACTGAGTGATTTTTAAAATGCCAGTGGGTCATTGGAGTCTTCTAATTTGCTTCTTTGTATATTTTCTTTTTTTTTCATTTTTTTTATTATTAAGAGATTTTCTATTCATTTTACATACCAACCACAGATCCTCCTCTCCTTCCTCCTTCCACTCTCCAGGCCTCCCCCACAACCCACCCCCCCTCCCCACCTCCTCCAAGGCAAGGTCTCCCATGGGGAGTCAGCAGAGCCTGGTACATTCAGTTGAGGCAGGTCCAAGCCCCTCCTCCTGCACCAAGGCTGCACAAGGTGTCCCACCATAGGCACTGGGCTCCAAAAAGCCCACTCATGCACCAAGGACAGGTCCCGATCCCACTGCCTGGGGGCCCCCTAAACAGTTCAAGCTAAACAACTGTGTTACCTAACTAGGGGGCCTAGTCTAGTACCATGTGGGCTCCTCAGCTATTGGTCCACAGTTTATGTGTTTCCACTAGTTTGGCTGGTCATCTCTGTACATTTTCCCATCCTGATCTCGATGTCCCTTGCTTATAGAATCCCTCCTCTCTCTCATCAATTGGACTCCTGAAGCTTGGCCTGCCACCTGGCCATAGATCTCTGCACCTGCTTACAACCCACAGCTCCAGGGAGGCTAGCTAGCAGGGGGGACCCTAGAAAGGATGCATATTTTCTTTTATTTGAATGAGCCAGTTAAATATTTTGCTCCTTAAATGTTTCCCATAATCCAATTTATTCTGCCCGTGGTTCACAAAATAGAAACACCCAAATGTGAGCATTTTTGCACATGTAAACATGTTCCCTAAGAGTAATTAATTTGAAGGACGCTATTTGGAATTGGCTCCATGTCCTAGAGAGGCTGAGAACACACAGACACAGCCATCCCTCATGGCCTTTAATTTACTCTGCTTCCCACGGGTCTACCTCTGTCTTCTGACGGTTCCTTGACAGCTGTCTCCAGCATCTCCTCAAGTTCTCCCTTGATTCTAAGAGTTGCCAAACTGTGTGTTCCCTGCAGTCTTTCCTTCTCTGAAGCTCCTTCTTTGCACGTTCGAACTGCTGCTTCCTGCATGCAGCCTCAGCTCTCCTCAAACAGTGTCTCTGGTTCCACTGGTGTGGCCACCAGTACTTGGGGAAATTTTGAGACAAACATGAAAGGCTCTTACGGAGCTTTGTCCGTATGCTCCAGAATAACTGAAAACTAGAGTTCCTGGAAGAAATTAAATACCACATCAAGTAAGAACAAAGCACAATGGCACATATGCCTGGAAATGTCACCGTGAAAGCCATTATCATGTATGCTAGCGAAAAACATTTATTTAAAGTATAACAGAAAGCAATAAATGAAAAGAAAAAGTACCCAAGAGAAATACAACTCTGTAGATGTAGGGTCTGAAGATGGTAGCAAAGGGTGAGCTGTCAGAAGACACAGTTTGGGGGCACATCTACATGGAAAAATCTTCAAAGAGAAGGAAGCAAGTGGAAAACATCTGAGTTCATGTGCAAAGAAAGAGACAGAGCTTAGTCACTGAAAGGGCTGAGTGGAAATGGCCAAGCGAGATGGAGAACACGATTGCATCTCCTTCACACAAATCACCACGTAGAGGGAAGATCGAGTAAGAGCTTAAAGCATCCCATCTGCTGTGGTACCCGTGTGCCTGGAAAATAGCTCATCTCCCTGGGAGAATGATGATGAAGTGAGCTTGTAATGATTAACCTGGAGCAAGTGGTTGGCTGTGTGTTTGTGCCTGGAATCTGGACAAAAGCTGTCTCCTCTTAGCACCGAGGACAGCAATGTCCCATTGGAAGACTGAGGCTCCAAACTTGAGCCTGTCTTTTAGTATCTATACATTAATACTCATGATGATAATTAGAGGTGTGAAAATATAGGAATTTCTAAGAAATGTATTAATTAAAGGCTTTGAATAGACCTCAAATGTTGAGAGGACAAGCTAGGAAAATGTGAGAGACTATAAAACAGGTTTTGAAAGAAATTACATAAAGATGCACATATTGAAACAATTGCATATTATTTGGACTTGGGCTCTCCACAATTATGATAGATACACATTTGACTTCCTAAAGGTCTCAGTCATAGAAACTAATGCACTAAGAATAAGGAAGAAATGATAGCCTTTTTACTTTTACTCCGAGTGCCTTTAAATTACTGTGTCTAACTCTGATGATAACCAACTTAAAGAAGAATTGTCAAAATATATAGAAAAGCAATCATTTAGTTTCATTTCATTGTCAACTTATATAACAAACCCAATAGTCACTTTTAGTTAAGGTTTGTCTAGCCAATCTTTATGGATGGGCACTGCATTCTGAGAATGGACATTTATTACAGTTGTCACATGAAATGTTCAGTCTTCAATGTTCAGTATTCCAATTTCTC